TGCTCGCTTTTGTTGCTGCTCTCGCTTTTGTTGGTTCTCTCGCCACTGACTGCCCTGTAAACTATCTGTTGCGCATGTGCAGGTGAAAGCGAAGAAGAAGCGAAAGATCAAGAGTCTGAAGGACAAGTTCAGGATGAAGCGAGCGGAGAAGGCGCGATCGGACAAGCAAAACTCATGGAAGAAGTTCGCCGACAAGAAGGCCACCAAGAGGAAGGTCGGCTTCATGACCGGTACTGCATGCACCTTCGTCCTCCTCTTCGCTCCTTAGTGTGCCTGGCGTGTGGCTGACCTTGATGGTCTTTCTTGTCGTTTTTTCTTTGCTTGCCAGGTATGAGGAAGGAGAGCATCTTCAAGACGTCCGACTCCTTCACGGGCAAGGTCGGCGTCACCGGGTCGGGCAAGGAGATGACGAAGCAGATGGAGGACATCAGGGTCAAGTACAAGAAGAAGATGGCCGTGCCCTCGCCCTCGGCACTCGACGCCAACCTCGGCACCCTCTGAGAATGATGACGACGACGAAAAGGCCCCACACCGCCTACCATCCCTCCCCCAACCACCGCGCCAGCTCGGCGATGATGGAGGATGACCTCGCCACTGTCATTGACTCCACTCCCTTTCCTTTTCCTCCAGCTCCTCGCAGAGTGTTGGGAGGTGACCAGGGTTTGTGCTGGTGCTGCAATCCATCCACAACTACAAGTGTACATTCTTTCGCCCCCCACTCCCCTCGTTCTTCTTTTGCTCTCTGCTACTTTCTATCACCAAGATCTGCTCTGCAACATATTGCATCACCTATAAAATGGGACACCACGACTGGGGGTTGCTGCACTTGATGAAGGGTAGGGTGTCTGCCATGGCCAAGAGGAGGGACACGATCACTGTTGGGGGAAGGGCCACCTTCATGTTCAGGAGAAGAAAAATGACGAAAAGCTTTTCTCAACTATTTATTCAGAATAATTTTGTAGATGGAGGTAGAAGACAGTACTGTTGGGGAGCAGTTGGGCCTGCTGCCGTCGGTGTGGTGGCAGCTCTCACCTCTGTGGCGCCTGTGCGCGCTCGCCCTTGCCAACGTACAAAATCCCCCCCCCCCCAAGCTGCCCGCCACAGGTCCGAACCCCAAGTCACCACAAGCTCCATTTGTCAGTGCAGAGACTCTGCAGAGGAGCCTCCAGGCCTGGTGGAGGTGGCGGCCGAGGTGTGGCAGAAGGCGTTCGACGCGTGCAAGGAGGCCAACCGACTGGCCCCTCCTCCTCTCAGCGGCAGCAAGAGGGGCGCCCTTCACGTCTTCCTCACCACCATCACCGCACCGGTTCGTCTCTGCTGCCCTTCGCACCTTCGCCTTGCACCCCAATCTCCCCTTTGCTGACAGGTGTGGTGTGGCGTGCAGGTGGTGCGGCTCGACCTGCGGGCCGAAGTGCGCCTAACGCCCGACGATCTGCTCGCCGTCGCCGCTGCGCCTGCCCTCTTGTACGACCCCTCACTCCATTCAGTTCACCCGGCGCGCAAGC